CGACACTTTCTTTTTTATAGATTTCAAAACGCACTAAATTTTGCAAATGATTGGCATTATACTGTCTCTAAGACTAATAAGATAGTACATCGTGGTTCGCATTTGCAAAATATTAATTATCTATAAAGTATATATATTATGTATATTAAATATATATTAAAAACCTATAAAAAAAGTTTCGCAACCGATGTGTCCACGACTGTACATAGTACATTAATGGTACATAAACAAACTTATGAAATACTAGACTATGATTCATTGCACATTAACCTTCAAATGGTACATTTCTTTCGATCACCCACTAATGGAACACTGGTGCCGTGACTAGCCGGCGAATAGTCGCGACAGATATCTTTATGCAAATGTCAACAATTCGAAAATTTTTGCGGTGCGAATTCACACTCTTGTATCATTTGAAGGTTAAATATGATAAGTGATATCCAATGAGAATTCTGCTTTCTTTCTGTTGTAATATAAAAAAAACAGAGCTTTCATTGGATATTGCTTATCGCTAGTATTGCGTCTAATGAGCCTAAATACGTTAAAAAGCAGAGACTCTATTAAGAAATTAATATAATTCTGTGTTGTGTTAATGAATTTTGTAAATATATTCTTAATAATTATTAACTATTTTCGTATTTAAATAGCCAAATTTGTTGAAAAAATAGAATGCAAATATGTAACAAAATCTGCTAATAAAATATGATATATTCATAAACAGAATCCACTATTTTGTAACTAAAAAGACATATTTTATTTATTAGTAGTTATGAAGTAGAATTTGCTTAATTTCTTTAAAAAGAAATTATGTCGGTATACACGGATTCTATGAGATGAACATGAGTTTAATACAGATGCAGTTGATACCAATCTACCATAATGTACTCAAATCTGCTGACAATCTGTTAACTTATTGCTTACATTATACTTATTTGATCAAGGCATTAAGAATATTACATATCTTTTAGCTGCCATCCAAGCACTGAAAAGAAAGAAGCGATATGAAAAACAATTACAACAAATTGATGGCACATTATCTACAATTGAAATGCAAAGAGAAGCACTGGAAAGTGCAAATACAAACACCGCCGTTCTTACTACTATGAAGGGGGCTGCAGACGCAATGAAAGCTGCACATCAACATATGTAAGATTTTTGCATTTTTAGATTTTTATAACCATTAATAAGTTATTAATCTAATATTTGTCTACGAATAGTGCAATATAAACATATTAAAAATTAAAAAGATTTCTTTAAATAGGGAAATAAATATTGAAAATACTGGTTGTATGTATATAATTATTCATTTATTAAATAATTGTAATTATATTTTCGTTATATTTGTACTATACTATAGGGACGTGGATCAAGTACACGATATGATGGACGATATAGCAGAACAACAAGATGTGGCTAGAGAAATTTCAGATGCCATATCTAATCCAGTAGCGTTTGGCCAGGATGCCGATGAAGATGAATTAGAGAAAGAGCTAGAAGAACTTCAACAAGAGCAACTTGACAAAGAATTACTTGGTATCGATACAACGACAGATGAATTACCAGCGGTACCAACTTCAGTTCCCGTTGCACCAAGCAAAACTCGTACAAGTAACTATTATTCTCATAATAC